TCATGCCCAGGGTTACCTGTTATAGTTTCTAATTCATTCAAATCCACCTTGACAGAGCTCAGTGATTAACACAGTGGTGGGGAACTACCCCAGAAGTCCACCCCCAGGACAGCCTCTCTATGAAGCAGTTTTTGCCATAGCATATTTTGCACCTAGCTGAAGTATCAGTGCTTTTCCACACATAATTAACTTTGTGGGCCAGTTTAGTCACTTCTTAAAAATGCACACATTACTGTAAATTGTATCCTTTGTCATATTTCCAGGGAATGATTTGGTAAGCGCTGGGAAGTACAGAAGCAGGTAATGAACTTCACATCTAGTACTTAAGCTGCTCTGCTTACAGAATGAGACTATAAGAAATTTAATAAGCAAGTAGAGTGCCTTGCTTCTGCAAGAGAATAAGGAGATAAGTGCTGACTTGCTTAGGAGGTACTGCACATCCCACTGTTACTCCTGGTCTGTACATGTTTAAGCCATACCACTCACATCAGGCTGCTCTTCTACTAAAAAAAATAAGAAAATGTTCTCTTTCTGGTAGACTTTTCTGCCTTAACCCTTGAGATACTAGTGTATGTAGATGAATGCTGAGCTAACTGTTGAAATATAGATATGGTAACTCCTTTCAGGGCATACCTGGATATGTATTTTCAAGATACACATGATGATTTCTAAATGGTGGTCATGGATGATGATGTTTTGAAGCTTGAAGTGATTTCCCCCCCTGCTATCTAAAAACAGACATTCAGTTTTTCCTCATCTCAGATAATATTTTGAAATAATACATACATGTGATTTGTTTTGATACTTACATAATATCTGTTCTAGGGAATTAATTTGCAGGAAAAAAAAGAAAGCTTTCATTTTAGGTCTGAATTTTAATTCAAATACTTTATGATGATATTTTCTCAGTAGGAGGAAGTATTGAGGTGGTGCTGCAAGCCTCAATTTTTATTGACCAATTACCCCAAGCACAGCAATTTATTGCAGGAGCACAGTCAGTGTTTAAAGTTCACTGGGGCTTCAGCTTCCCCAGCCATAAAAGTAATTTATATCTACGTGAGTACCACTGGTATTTTTTCCCCCTTAGCTTAAGGAAGGAAACCAGGACAAGTACAAGATACAGGTACAAGATGCAGGCACACAGGCTTTGAATGGGCAGATGGGGTGGGGATGAGAATTCAGTTGGAGATGTCCAGGTGGGGCTTGGCTGGTGCTCCCATGGGCAGCATGGGCAGCCTGGTTGGATACCTCCTGAGTCTGTTACCTGCAGGCTTTGATTGCATGGCACTACTGTCAAAATTATGGCTTTACAGGAAGGAGTGCCTGGGTTTGGTGTGAGTGTGCTTCATCATTTAGTTTAACGTAGGGATCAGAGGTGCAGAGGGATTTTGCTTTAGTTTGTGGGGGTGGTGTGTGTGCATTGGTATTTGGAGTGCAACCAAACCTGCCAAAGAAGGTGTCTGCTGTGTGTGTGGGTGCAAGTCAGGCTCCTGCTATTTTGCAAAGTCATCCAACAAGGAACACTTCAGGAAAGAACACTAAAGTGCTGTGGATTATGGGAATGCTGCTGAGCAAAAAGCCTCAATCTTTGTGTGCTGTGTTTGTTTAACACTGAGAAATAATAATGCCTAATTTAATACTTAAAAGAAGATTTTTTTTTAAATCTAAACCATGTAATGTTGTCTCATTGACAAGTAATACTTCAGAGTTTCAGTAGAAATTCATGATGTTTATAAAAGCTTCCAATTTTCTTGCATTTCAGATCGCCTTTATTTTGCAATCCTCTACCAAAAACCAAAGAATGGAGCTGCAAATACCCATTATTTCTGCATAGATGATGAACTTGTGTATGAGAAGTAAGTATGAAGTTAGTTTTTTTTTTCTTTTTTTACAGAAATAAATTAATCAGAACAACAGCAGTGAGGAATTAGTCTCATTGGAGAATTAATTACATGAGTTTGGTCTTCTAAGATTTACATGCCATGATGATTTATAGGCTTTTGAAGGATTTTCTGCTTTCCCATTGGGATTTCATAAAAACATTTCTAAAGCAGAAGCTTTCATTGTACCCATTCTTGCTAGAAGACACAGAAATGTGATACAGCCATATAAATTTAGAAGTGCACATTGTACTCCCAGACTAAAAGGGATGTCTTTGGTTCCTTGTGTATTTAGTGGAATGTCTGAACTTCCTAGAATCAGAGAAGAAAATGGCAAAGTCAATTCAAGCCTTTATGAGCTGACAATGGATATATTATTTCCCCTGTAGTAAACATTGTCTGCCTTTTACATGATGTGGAATGTTGCTAATTCTTCAAATAGTTTTGATCAAGAGCATGCTTGTTGTTTTTTAATACACTAATGAATCTTTATTCTCTGGTTTCCTTTTCTCTAGCACAAGTTGCCTTCTTTTAATGTAAAGCTTATGAGTTCCTCTTAAAATAGAGTTTAAAAACTTTTGTCACAGAGTGAAATAGTTCTTAAAATCTGGGGTATTAGTTTTGAATGATGCTGTGTGGAAAACAAAGGAATTTTAGTCCATGTTTAAGATGACAAAACATTTTCTCCACCAAAACAGTATGTATTTATGTAAGAAAGAATGCTTGTTTTTAGAATGAGGTATGTATATCACATGTATATTATTGCTCCTTGCTTTGTGCATCTTTTAAAAAAAGGCATTTACAGGGGTCATACACAATTTTTCTCCTTTCTTCTAACAGTTTCTATGCAGACTTTGGACCACTCAATCTGGCAATGGTCTACAGATACTGCAGCAAGCTAAATAGGAAATTAAAGGTAATGCTTGGGTTTTAATTCAAAAGCCAATTTTATTGGCCTTTAAAAAAACAAAAACAAGTAGGCCAACATTTCTCTTGTTATTGTAATTGTTCAGGTGCTTTCCTATTTTCCTAATCCAGCTGAATTCTGAATATGAATGCTATATTTTAGTGAGGAGCAGGATCAGGGTGAAAAACTCACTCACTTACAGGAAATGCACAACTGTGGCAATAACTATCACTAAGCTTCTAGAAGATCAGTTGCTGAATGAATACAGCCTCTTACATAGGAAAAGCTTTTTTCCTGGAATTCTGTAGTATTGGCAATGTGCCAATACTACAGAAAAACACATACTGTGTTTTTATTTGAAATTGTTTTTGTTTGACTTGGTCTTCTCTTCTGATGCTGACATTCTTCAATAATGAACATTTGATTTTTAGTAGCATTGATAGCATCAGCCTGTAGGAGGCTGCTCTGCTTGTACTGCAGATTTTTTGTCTTACAGGAGCTGAGTGATTTTTGGGATTGGGCTCTTGATAAAGCATAGTGTGTTTAAAATGGACTTCTTAAATTAATTAACACAACTTACTACAAGTTAGTTGACCTTTAGTAGATGTTGGACTATAAAACCTGTTTGGCAGATAAAAAAAGCTTGGTTTTGTTAATGTCAGTTGTGGTTTGCCTCTTCAAATCTACTTAGATTTTTAAACTGCCACTGAACTGTGAAAAGTAGGAAATATAGAGCACATTATAGAATAAAAAGGGGGTTTTTTTGTCCCTTGATGTCGGCCACAGATAATAGTTTGCAGAATTCAGACTTGCTTTATTATTCTTTAGGTTGTAGAAGCAATTGACACATATGGGTGTGATGTTGCTGCTCGGTTCTTACTGGGGGACTTGCAGAATTGTCTCTGGCTAAGCCAGAGATAAACCTGTTTACTAGTCCAGGCTGGGAGGTGGTAAACTCCCACTTGGGTAATTGTGTTCAACAGAGTTGAGATTCTCTGATTTTTGTATATTGGGTGATCTGAAGCAACACAAGTCTATGTTACAGTTTCTTTCCATGTCTTGTGTCTGATATATTAGGATTTCTGAGAACATATTTCTGCTTCTGATCTGGGTTTTTTTTTTTTTTTTTTTTTTTTTTTTTTTTTTTTTTTTTTTTTTTTTTTGTTTTTTTTTTTTTTTTTTTGTCTTGAATGCATTGAATCTGGTATCTTGAACGAGTAGCATTGCTATTTAAATGAATAAAATGGCATCTTATTATAGCTTAGAAGTTGATCAAATTGTGCAGTTTGAAGCACATCAGAATGTATTTCAAAGGCCAGTTAGGGGATAACTGCCACCACACGTGTGTGTCCTTTCTATTGAAAATGCCATTCCATCCACATTGTAAGATATATGGAGAAACTGTATGCCAAGCCAAGATGACACAAAAATTAGTTATGATAAAGTTTAGAAATAATTTAAAAATATTTTAATCTAAGCATGGTTCTGATCCTCAGAAACAAATACTAGTGGATTTATCTACATTTGAGTTTGAAAAATTAATGAAAATGTGTAAACTCTGTTTTTAAAATTTTTGCAATTTTAATATACCTGTGATACTTTTTTGAATGCCACTTTCTATTCGCATAAATGGCTATCTGTTACATAAGGCTTGAAGTAAAAAAATGCCAAATAAAAATACAAACACATTTAAGAAGAAAAAGAAAGTATTTCAGTAATTTCTATCTAAAATTATTTAGTCTGGATACTTGGAAAAATACTGGGAAAACCTAGGTAGGGATGGAATAGTTTTCCAAAGCTTCTGAGGGACTACTCCACAGTATTTTTTGGTTTTCTTACTACAGCTGGATGAAAGCAGGTAAACAAAATTTTACATTCCTTGGTTTTATAAAAGAAGGTATAAAAGGTTTAAAATGCAAAATCATAATCTTGTTCATTTCTTGATACAGTCATTTTCATTGATAAGGAAGAAAATAATTCATTATACTGGCTTTGATCAGAAAAAGCAAGCAAACGCTGCATTCCTCATAGGCTCCTACGCAGTAAGTATTTAAATTTTTACATCAGCTGCTGACTGTGTTCATTTTTTTTATACTCAATTTTTAGAACAGCAAGATAAAAACAATTCTTTTCTTTTGAATAGTCATTCTATTAATGTAATTATAGTAATGAACCACGTAATAAGGGAGTTTCTAAGGTCCAGAAGGTATGTGAGTGAAGTGGTATGATTTCAGGTTTTTTCCTTCCTACTGCCATTTCTGTTCTTAAGAAATAAGAGTATCACTGGAAAAAAATCAGTATTAGTATTTTAAATTAGAAAAAATCATTGCTTCTTGAAGTTTTGCCTTTCCCCAACCACACAATCTCTTTTATATAATAGAAACATAGTATCTTGCATGAAGTATAATGTATAATTTGCCAGTGCATGTTTAAATAAACCTTTCCTTCCCCAGCTGCTTCTTCTCTGTCACAAGGTAATCTCTTCAATTAATATGGGAGAAACAGTGAGAATGTGTGATGGGTTTAGAGCCTGTATAAAACCTGGGAAGATACAATGTGGCTGGAAAGGTACTAAGCCGAGCCTGTGGCTGCGCAGGGGCAAAGGACTGCAATCACAACTGCATTTGGTACACAAAATGTAGTCAAGACATAAAATGCTGAATACTTCAGGATGAAAGCTGTGATGCACCATATTCAAGTTCTGTTTTGATTTGTAACACGCCTTGGTTGTAACCATGTCTCCTCATGTTTACTAAGTAATAAGATGAAATAAGAAGCTATGCACTTTTTGATGAGAGATTTGAGAGATTGAAGTTCATGTAGACTTAGCATATTCCTATTTATTGGCTGCAAAGGCTACACAGTACTTTCTAGGATGGAGGCAGTCTCCTTGCTGCCTCTCTGCATCATGCAGGATCTCCATTTTCTGTTCGCTGGGGCTTCTCTGTTGTCTATATTCTATAGCACTTCTTACAACTTGAGAACTAAATTTCAAAACTTGCCACTCTTGGTATTTGAATGAGGAATGTTGTAGTCCTGTGCAATCTTAAACTGCATGGAAACTGGAAATATGAGTAACTAAGCTTGTTTGCCATTTAAGGGATTATGCTGACAAAACAGCTGCAGCTTTTAGGAAAACTACTCCTTCCTAATTACTTGATCATAATTGAGGTCCAGAGAGTGAGAGGGGCCTAGCTTCAGTTATCAGCCATTATTTGGAAAAAAGTAGGTTTTGTTTTTTCCTACACTCTTCTCAATATGTGTAGTAGTAGCATTGTGTGGCACAGCAGCTTAAGAGTAACTAATTAGATTAACAGCAGAAGATTAACTAATGGTGAAACAATCTAATCAGAAAATACTGTGGTTAACTATGCAAAAGTATACAGAAAACCTGAAACAAATATTATTTTTGATCACGTGGGAACCCTGCCATGATGCAATAATAACATGCAAGTGAAGGTGAGTGCTTCAACAGTCTTGAATAAGCTATAAGATTAATATGTATGGCTTATGACAATCTAAAGCACAGTAATTAGAAATGGAGGCTGTTTTACAGATGAGTAGGCATTTTTGCTTTAGAGAGCTGCAGTGAAGGAAGTAGGAGTTCCAGAGTAAGGAAAGGATGCTCACAGGGATCCATGACACGAGATCGTGACTACCTAGCCAAAGCATGTGCTAGGGGTAGTTGCAGACACATGGCACATGACCAAAAAATACAACAAAACCACCATAGTTTTCAGAGTTTGGAGAGGTGCTTAAGTTACTGTATTATACACACTGAATATTTTGGCAGTTTCCCTGAAAGCCCTGGGGGAAAGTAAAGCGCAGTATGAGTATCAGTCATCTCCTTGCATGTAGGCATGTCTATCTTGCAAATTTGCAAGTTTGAGATAGTGAGCTAGCTCTAGCTAGATGTTGATTTTCTTTCCACTGCAATACATTTTGTCTTTGTACCACTTTTTCTTTATAGTTGGGTAGAGTTTCTTCTCAGTTTTGTGTAGGAGGGGTTCCACTGAAGAAAGATCACAGAAGAAAAACTATGCCCCTGAGGCAATTTTCTTTTCCTATGGCATGCTTTGATGATCTTTCATGAAGAGGCAAGCTTAATTAGAGAGCTCATTGCTCAAGTGTTCACATATATTTGCCCCATATTTCTGCTTTCTGAAGGGAGAATTGGATTGTTGTCTGTGGAACAAGCAATGATAGAGGATCTGTTCAGAATGCCTGATAAACATGTTTATAAACATATTTCCTGATTGAAAGGAAATATTGATGACTTCTTTATTTAAAACATGTGTAGGCTTAAGTTACCTACCTTACCTTCTTTAGTTTCAGAATGCTTTGCCTTTTGTTGAAGAAAGATACAACCAGATACTAGTCAAATCTTTTAAGGAGTTTTTCTATAATTTTAGTTAATCAGACTGTGTCATGTTAGTAATACTCTTTGTTACTTGAGCCAATTGTCATAATTTATTTTCTGATCTTACAGGGTAAGTTGTAGGTTGATACTATATTTTGTTTCCTCTGGATTGAATGTGTTTTCTTACTTGATTCTATTTTTTTAGTGTCATGATAGGTTCCCATATTAACAGTTTACCTTAGGGTTGAGGAGCTCTGTGGGTAAGCAATGCCTTTCTTTGGGGGTGTTCTGGTTTGTTCAAGGAAGAGCAAAGAAATAGAAAGGGAATGTGGCCTTTGCAGATTTAGTCACAAAAATAGTGCTTGTCTACTTGGGTTGAAAGTTGTTTGATAACTTAAGCACAGTTTGGCGTGCAAGTTGCTCTGTAGGTGCAGGTGCTACAAGTTACTTTTTTGGAGTAACAGAGAATAGCAGCAAGGTTTTCAAGAATAGCATGGCACATTGAGCCTGTGTAATTTCTTGTTTTGTTATCTTCTGATTTTTTAAAACACAGTTACATTTAAGCTACAAAACTGTAATGAACTTCCTATGACTAGATCTCCTCTGGGACTTCTATGTCCTCATAAAAGTTCAACTTCTGAGTATGTCTTTTCAAAGGCTTGTTGACCTCAAGTTTATATTCTTAAACATAATATTATAACTTCTGCTTAAAGAAATTGCGATATATTAGCATGATTTATCATTTGTCATCTTTTGTTCAAATGTATATGTGTGTGTATATATCATGTGGGGATATGCTCCGACTACTAAGGCAATTATGAAAGTCTTCATTAACTGTGGTGTAAGGGCAGCTGTTAGTGTTCTTGTTTTTGAGCAGTCTGTTCTCAGTCTTTTCTTCACAGCTGATGTGTTTTAATGTTTCCCCCATTCCCGTTCATCTAACTTGTCTTTCTTTCCTCTTCAGTGGAGATAGTTTATGAACTCTCCAGACTACATACTTGCTTCTCCCCCCTCCTGCATCTCCTGCTTCCTTCCAGGTGTACTTTGATGTGACAGCACAGCCTTACTCAAGTTCTTCAGCATTACATGGCCTTAAGAGTGAAGAAATAAGTTTACAAATACATTGTTGTATATGTAGTTTTAGAATAAAATACTAATTTTTTAGAGTAAATCTTAACAATTTAGACTTAATCCCTTTATTGTTCATCTTTCATCTATTTTAATACTGTATTTATTTTTTCTACATTTTTGCAGACATAATGGGAATAATATTCTTCTATGCACGTTAACATAAATTTGGCGCATTCAGTGACACAAAGGGTAGCCAGAATTCAGTGTGTTTGGGTTGAACATTTACTCCTTATTTGGGTGGAGGGGGAAAAGGGAAAGAAGTGGGGCGGGGGGGAGGAATCTTTATTCTTCACCTTTTAAAGAAAAATATTTTCCTTGAAAGCTATCTGCACTGTTCAGGCCTTGCCACACTACCAAAGCAGCAGTGGTCTTCTGAGTTGATATCTACAGTGGCTTCTCTTGATTTTCACCAGGACTTGGCTGTGGGTGAGGAAAGTCTGCTTCTTCCATCATTGCTCCTTCTATGTTACAAAAGAAAATGTACCCTCTGTCCCTGTCCACCCGATTCCCAAGCTCCCCCCTCTCCCCTTGGCTACATTAACTTAGTAACAGTGTTTTTTTTCTCAGGCCTGGCACTAATTATGTACTTGGAGGGTGACCCTTCCAGGGTACCGCCCCATGAACTGCTGTAATTCAGGTCACCTTCTCCAGGACTCATCTCTGTACTTTGTCTATTTTCTCATCTTCTTTCTTCAGGGTAAGCAGCGTTTCCTTCATCCATTCTAATCCATAGTATTGGTTTTTTGCCTTTTCAATTTGTTAGTATCCTTCCTAGTTGTGGGCCTAATGCTGGGTAGAAGCTGGAGGTTGGAGAATTAATTCGCACCCACTGGTGTGGTGTTGAACTGCTCTGTTCTTAGTGTGACACTTGCAGAATTATCTCTGGCTAAGCCCAAGATAAACCTATTGAGTGATCCAGGCTGGGTGGTGATGAATGGGTTACTGTGGCAGCACTCAAATTTAGAGTGGGTAAACCATGTTTACCCTCAGCTATGTTTTGGTGAGAGGTGCTTGATGAGCAAGTGGCAGAGACAAGATGGACAAAGTACTGACCTTTCATTTAAGAAGTTACCTGGAGTCTTGACTGTCTCTGGGTTTGTGTCCTCTAAAATGCTCCCTTCTCTAAGTTGTATTTGGGAAATCATTATTAATCTTCACAGTGGCAGCTTTTCCTGCTGTTGCTACTAGGTTCTATTCCAGCATGTTCCTACAAAACTCCATAGGAGTTTTGTCTCCACAGGAGAAGGGTTGTTCTTTTGGAGTTCCCACACTCTATAGCCTTAGATTGATTTCTTACTTTGAATAAAATAGTGATGCGCTCAGTCCAGGGTTTTTATACTTTCCCTCTGTTGTTTAAAAGGTAATTGGACGTTTCTTGCTTTTGTTTATGATGGACAAAGAGAGTTGCCAGAGACAGGCAGTTATTCACTCTCTCTCGCTTTTATCCACTTAATGACTGTGTTTCTTGCCAGTGACGAAATGAGTGGCCACATGCATTTCTTCTCTACAACACAAATACATACAGGAAGCTTTTTGTTCTAATAAACTTCT